CCACACGGGCCGGTTCGCGGACGCGCTCACGGACGCGCTCGCCTTCTACCGGAGCGACTACGAGGCCGGTGAGTACCCGCGTCGACGGCGGCGATTCTCGAGATGAGCTTTACGAGAACGGCGACATCGTTTCTGGTTTAAAACGGAAACCCGGGGGGAGGGGAGACCTATGTCGACGTCGAACGGGGCGAGCGACCCGCGAGCGGAAATAGCGCGATGCTAACGTCCATCGAGAATAATCCCGGCGCGGATCGGCCAGCGGGCGAGGGAACGACGAGCCAGAAGCTGCTAGATTTGTTTTTGTTTGTGTTCTTTAAAAACGTCGGCGATCGAAACCTAAAGTAACGTGCGCCTTTAGCGGCGGCGGCGTGGCGGGGCGCCCCCGCGGCCCCCGTGGCGGACCTGCTGGCGGCCGCGCCCCTGCGCTGCCTGCGCGCCCCCGAGCCCGCGCTGCTGCTGCCGCCCGCCGCCGCGCCCCCGTGCGCCGCCCCCGCCCCGGCCCCCGGCGCCCCCACCCCCGCCCCCGGCGCCCCCGCGCTGGCCCCCGCGTGCCTGCGCGCGCACCGCGACGGCGGCTTCCGGCAGCTGCAGCTGGGCGACCGGCACACGCTCGCGCGGCTGCTGCTGGAGGAGCAGGCCGCCGCCGCCGCCGCCGACAAAGTAAACTTTAAAACCCGCACTCAAATCTGTTCATTACTTCACGAGCTCCGGTGAAAAAACAAAATGTGCACGATTTATACAGGATCAACTACGTCATAAAAATGTGTGCGCTGTTTATAATTTTTACCAACATAAAGCCAGATTTACACTTCAGAAGAAAGATTGAAAGTTACGCTATTTTTGTCCTTTAGTTAAACTGAATGACTATGAATTGGACTTGACGGATTTGCCCTACAATAATAACAAATGAAGAAGAAGTTTCATCACCAGTGCCATTTTGAAGTTATTTATAAATAAAACCACCGATTAATAATAAATGGAATATTTATTGAGTTAAACGTAAACAATAGTGAACGCACACAACAACGCGCGCCCGCCGTCGCACGCACACGCACACACACACACACGCAGCCGACGCAGGATCTGCTTGTGTTGTATAAAAATATATAAATATATCTGTACATCTCTTAGTTTTCTAATGTGTTTTATAGCTAGGTTTATCGATATGTACCTTATAGAAAAACTGACACGGGATTCATACCTGTAACCTTTCACACTGTTCAGGTAGTTCACATAACACCGGGGAAAATTCTGGGCAGTTAACAACTACATATATGTACTTGGGAATTCGCCCGGTTTTTCTATAAGATAAGTCAATACAGTGTCGTGAATGAAAATTTATCAAATATATAAAAAAATATTTCATTATTACAGATCTCCTCGCTGTATTCCCAATAAACCATTCAAGTGTGTACAGTCATGGCTAATAATCGCTACGTTTATATTTAATATATTTATCAAAATTGTTCCTGATAAAAAAATCCTGAAGAAAACTGGTTTAATAGGAATACACCGATCAAATCTTATTTTATTGCATAGCAGTACAAAAACACAACATTTCCCGATTCGTCTCTTGGACCTCCTCAAGCCAGGGGTCGGCCAACTACGCTAAAATATCAAAATTCTATACATCAAAACTTCTACTACTACACATACACTAATACATCGATATCTATGTTTTAATACACAGTGTATATAGACCGTGCGCGTGACGGACAGACGGCGGGCTCGCTCCACAGCCACCGTGTCTTTTATCATTAACTAGTGTGTCGCCCGCGCTCTCCCCGTTATATCAAAATAAATAATATCTATAATATCTCGCACCTCTCGAGGTACCAAACGCACGGGCCGATCGTATCTCCAGTAGAAACTGTTACTTTGTCATGTTATATTTTCCTGAAAATCACGCACACGATGGCCTCAGGCGTCGGAATGTATATCACGCTCCCCTGCACACCTCATGCACTACATAATAAAAATCTCTTTTAAGATTAATAATAATAATAATTTAGTTAATTTGAGACTTACAATACACGCATAATTTACTAAATATTTCGATACCGTCCTCCAAATATACTGCTAATTGATTAAACCGGAGCACTCGCGTCGTGAGTGCTCCGGCCGTTACTAGTCCACGTGACGACGCGTCGAGGTCACGCGGTCGCCGGTCAGTGGCGCCATCTACCTCTACACCTACATCTACGCACGTCTACTTAAGACATTCAATTCTTAAATATTTTTTTTCTTATGGTTTGGTAGATAGGTATAAATAAGGAAACAAACAAGTGTTTGTTCCTACGAATATAATACCTTGTGACACGGGTATTTGTTTTCTTTGAACCGTGAAAACAATGTTAATATTAAATATGAACAATTGTAACCGTAACCGTCGCGGGCGCAACGTTGAGATTATCAACTTTAAATGTCTAAACGTTTACATACAGGAACTGTGCGTGGCCACACGCGGTCGGTTACAATATATTGTACCCTTTTTGTTACCGATAAAACACATCGGCTGTTACTGAGGTAACAAATTATTGGACCTTGACAATTCCATAATGTCTTCCGTGCCGCGACAACTCGCAGGAGGAACGTTTAAAGCTTTCACAAAAACACAAAGAATCATTGTGATTATTGTGTAAAAATAAATAATAATCGCCGATTAAAAGATTTAGATAACGGGGGAAGTCACGTGGCGAACGCGAAGCTTAAAATTATCAATAATAGTGCTACATCTATACGTAACCGTCCCAGCGCGTGCCCGAACATGACGCGAGGTGCGGATACATCGGTGCCCACCACGTCCCGTTACAATCTATAACAGTCCATTTCAGTATGGAATGACGGTGAAGTTGCGTCCCCGAGTTACACAAATGCATTACATTATATATCATATATATCTCTTTAAGATTCTATTATATCAAATAATTATACTCTAAAATGAAGGAAATAATAATTTCCGTTAAAATCATAATTTACTATGTAATACTTTACTTATATAGTACACAGTTTAAAGATGTCGTATGACTATTTAGTATTCAGATATTTAACTAAAGGTTAGGTGTTAAGTAGTTCTGTCGCAACTGTACCTCCAGGTGTTTAAGATTTTTTTGCGATATTCTTAGATACATACAGACATATACAAAGTATATACATACTAGGAGATAAAATAGCGTCTAGGTTACATAGTGTTTCGATGTACATATATTTTTAACAAAGAGGAGGACTCCCGTTTCGTTCGGACCGAGCCGAACGCGGCCGAGACGGCGCTATCGACTCTTCGTCATCGACCCGGCGCGGGGAGTTTCGTGATCGCCGCCGGGTGGACGAGGGCGCCGGGCCCCCGCGGCGAACGCAGCGTCGACGGCGGCGATGCGGAGGCGGAGGCTCCCTCGGGTCACTGCTCGGGCTCAGGCTCGGGCGCGGCGGTGGAGGGGGCGGGGGCGGGGGCGGGGGCGGGGGCGGTGGAGGGGGAGGGCGGCAGCGGCGGCGGCGCCACCAGCGCGGTCCACTCGCCGTCGGGCTCGTACAGGCACTCGACGCACGCCAGGAACTGCTTGCCGTCGAACCCGCCCACCGCGTACAGCGCCCGCTGCAGCACGGCCAGCGCGTGCCCGGCGCGCGGCGTGCGCAGCGGGGGGCCCGGCAGCCACGCCCCCGCCCCCGCGCCCCCCGCCCCGCCCGCGGGCAGGTACTCCACGCGCCGCAGCGACGCCGCCCCGTCTGAGCCCCCCGCGGCCACCAGGCGCCCCCGCCACACGGCGCCGCCCACCGAGCGCCGCGCCGTGGGCAGCGCGGGGCCCGCGCGCCAGGCGCCCCCGCCGCCGGCCCCCACCCGCAGGTACTCGGTGGAGGCGAGGCAGTGCCACGTGTCGCAGCCCCCGAGCGCCCACAGCGTGTCCCCCCACAGCACGCTCGCGCACTGGGACCGACCTGCCGACGAACGCGCCCCGGGAATCGTTAGGACGGGCGGTGAGGTATACGATGAAGGTGGAGTCGCTCGCTATGTAGTGTTTAAACCGAGTCTGTTTTCGATTGTTGTTTTTTTACATAAATATTATTAAAGTTAGCGTGAGACACGAGTCATAGAGACGGCTGGGTATCGATCGGTTTCGGTACGACCTTGAAATAAAATAGTGCCAGTGACGGCGGTGTGACGATGCGCAGTGCCACATTCACTCGAACGTGCCGCCCTCGAGTTTCAAACCGAGTTCCACTAAAGCTTACGAACACGACAGTGTAGCGATTTCCTTACACTCGTGTATGGGTTCAATGGTGTAATCGTAGCGGTCGTGGACTGAGAAGAGCCATTCTAAACAGGAAACGAAGGTTCGAATCTACGGATCGGAGACTACCTTTCTCGAATCCTATTCGAACCGTTGCCTGTGCTGGTTGTTTGCAATCGATAGTTGATAGACGATTTCTACGCTGTCGTATTTGTGAGCAGTACCATGACCTGTTGTGTGCAAATGTATCAGAACAATGGTTCTTTAAAACACTAACTGAAAAACATAAAAAGCGTCGGAAGTGCCCTTTATGTATTACCGAGGAACCGAAGTGCGACAACGGCAACACTCCCGTCGGACGGGCGGCTGATGCGGCTCCTGCTCGTCGCGGGGGTAGCAGTGATATCATCGTCGCTCATGATCTCAATAACGCCACTCGTAATATTTTCCTAGATACTTCTTTTAGAGGAACCTTGGTTATTGAATTAAGTCAATTTCGAAAGGAACAATCTATGACGAGAACGAGACTATGTCTCGTTTTGAAGATAGGATTGTTGCACGTGAAGAACGTATAAACCCGTACGTAACGTATCCCAAATAGAAGCACTAGAAAGACGTTTAAATGCAAAAAAAATCTGTTTCGTATGCGGATTCTTTGCTGCTGGCAACCGTGGTACAGCTAAAGACAGAACTAAATGAACGAGATCAGTATTTACCGGCATTCTGAACCGACTTCAAGCCCTGCCCGAAATACAGGACTACAAATGTCCCATCGTTCCAATGTAAACGATAAGAAGTCATATCCGCGAATCGTTCCGATCTAAGAACCGATTATGAAACATGAAAAAAAAATGAAGGATCCGTAAAATAAATCTCGGTACACCGAAGGTCGGGATTCCGTCAGCATTCTAGCATTTAACGTTGGCGACTAACGGACAAGACGGTCAAATCGAAAGTCCGTCCGTCGAAAACAGTTTTAACAAAAATTCTAAAGCGGGGGAACGTTCAACCTGAAAAATTAGGAACGTCACAGATTGAATCGATAGTGAATGGATCATGTAGTGACCTGTGATAAGCGGCGGGGCCTCGGTCCACTCGTCGGTGTCGGGCGAGTACCGGTCCACGCGCCTCAGGTGGTGCCCGGCGGCCCACCCGCCCACCACGTACAGCGCGCCCTCCCCCTCCCCCTGCCCCTCCCCCTGCCCGGGGCCCGCCCCCGCCGCGGCCGCGTGCACGCGCGCCCCCGGCAGCCGCTTGCGCGCGCGCCAGGCGCCGCCGCCCGCCTCGAGCGCATCGACCGAGTCGAGCTCGGCCAGTCCGTCGCTGCCGCCCAGCACGAGCAGCGCCCCCCGCAGGCGCGCGGCGGGGAAGCGCGCGCGGGGCCCGCGCATGTCCGGCAGCGGGGCCCACGTGTTGCTCGCGGGCTCGTACACCTCCACCGACTTCAGCACGTGCGTGCGATCGTACCTGCGCGGACCCGCTTTTCAACACGCGAACGATACCAGAATCTACTCGTATTTATCTTTTTTTCGTATTTATTCAATATGTATATATAGCAGTGCAGAATCTCTAGTTGGCGTAGTTCGGAGCGACTTCGCTCTTTGTAAACTGTGCTTTGAAAAAATTACACTCGATATCTTCAAGCCGCCGGCCTGAACGTATGAAATCAAAAAATGTTATCTTAGCGGCTGAGCGCAATCGTATTCGTGATTTCACGTCGACCTCCGAATTGAAAAACGAACACGCGATCTCACCCTCCGCAGACGATCAGGCGGCCGTCCACGACGGCGGAGCCGAGCGCGCAGCGGGCGCGGGCCATGTGCGCGCGCCGCCCCCCCGCGCCCCCCAGCACGCCCCCGCGCGCCACCGCGGGCCCCGCCCCCGCCCCCGCCCCCGCGCGCCACCGCACGCGCGCCGCCACCACGCGGCCGCGCAGCGCCACCGCCGCGCGCGTGCCCCCCGCCGCCGCCGGCCCCGCGCCCAGCACCGCCCAGTCGCTCGCCGCGCCCTTCGACACCCTGCACGAGTGACGAGCTCTTCGATGTAGATCCGTCGCCAGATATTACGAACAAAATATATATCCGTCGAGCGAAGAGAACGGAGGAGGTGACCCCCGAATCCGTATTCGAAAGAAAAGTGCGCCGGCGTATTTGCGAACCGATTCCGTCGACTCGAACGACCCGACGACCGCCCCGCGATTCTGATATGAAAATATTCGATGAACGTGTCGACCGGAGGTTTTCGAAAAGCTTGTGTGAGTTTGTGTAATTATTATGAAGTGGAGGCTATGTATGAGATCTCGAAAGCCATGCAAATATTCGGTGATGTCTCCGTATTAAAGGCCGTTAAAACGGAAAGCGATCGTCGACTGATACGAGGCACATCGAATATCAATATCGAGCTGGCAAAATGTCGATCGATGAAAGCTCCGACCCATCCCTGCCCAGATCCAAATCCCCGAAAGTTTTTAACTCGAGCTTTAGAACCGCTTTGGCGTCCTTGACAGAAATTTGTATATGGACAATCTAAACAGCATGGAACAGATACCGTCCGCACGGTAGAGTCCGAGTTCTTCAAAACCCGCCGTCTCATAAAAAAGATATAATTTAGAATGTAAAACAAAGATGTAAAACATATAATTTAGTTTTTTTCTTATTTTTTGTGTGGGCAGGATGTACGAGTCAATGTACATTGTATGTAGGTAAAAATAATAGTCTGATCAGCATTTCAAGTTCAACGCTCTGTAACCTAAATTCACGTAATTATTATTTTTATTATAATAATAATAAATAAATAATAGCAAGTCATTATCGGCATCTTCGCCGATTTAATACGGAACGTGTTAAAAGTATTTGAGCGGAATAAAGGCTCCAAAGTGTTCGCGAAAGATGTCTCGTCAAAAACAGAAATCTTAAAGGTGATCGAAAGTTTGTATGGACAGCTGTACTCCACGCAAACACCTGCCGAAAGCAGGGCTAGAGATCCTAGATACAAGCTTACCCGACACACTACCGACGATATCGATACGACCCGAGCTTTAGCCTGTATGAGATTAATATGTAAAATTGCGAGACACATCGAGAAGAACTGATGGCCGTTGGGGCTGAAGAGTTCTCGAATGGCGACCACGTACCGGATGACGCTCAGAGGGTAGGCCCCCCACTAGGTGGATGCGGGCATCGTCGTGGAGATCTATGGGGGAGGCCTAGGCAGTGGGCGTCTTACGGCTGCTGATGATGACGATGATGATGACATACGATTTTGTTAATATTCGTTAAACGAAAGACAAAAGAATAAATCGACGGTAAAAAAATCTGTCAACCGTGAAGTTCAGATGTTCCAAAGGGTTTAATCCTAGGGACTCTTCTTTTTATTAGTATAAAAGACTTACTTTATAGGGATGATCATAAAATTGAGTCATTTTCAAATGAGATCATCTGGAGGAATCAGTTCGAGGATATCAAATCGATAAATTCATCGGTCGTCGGAAGTACGATGGGAAATAAATAATATTTAACTTAAAATGGTTTTATTAAAATTAAATTGATTTTATGAAGATTAAATTAAAATTAAGAATCGAAGACACACTGAATTGAATCATTACCGCTCGCTCGTATTTAATAAAAAATAATAATAATATAATATAAATTAAAATATTCATGCCGAGACACCTTTAGTTCACTCGGTTACTTCAAAATAAATCCACATACACGATACGTATTAAACCATTACCAATTATTGAGAAGATCGTAGATAGTAAAAATGCTCGCAATTCCGATTCTTTCGAGCTGTTTCGTGGGGCATAATGATATTCCAAAATTATCGTCATAACAGATATTTTTGTGAAGTCTGAAAAATGTTGAAAGCCCAATTCTCTTCTTCGTGAGTGTTGTTATAAAATTTATACAAAATTGTGATTATGAATTATTCGACGATTCTGTGAAAGTCTGCTATACCTGTCTCCGAGGCCGGCGCGCGCGTCCTGCGGCGGCGGGCGAGCGCGCGGGGCCGGCCGCCCCTCGGCCCCCTCGCCCCGCGCCCCCGCCCCCGCCCCCGCCACCTCCCCGCACTCGCGCTGCTCCCCGCAGTCGCGCAGCTGCTCGTAGTCCTGCAGCTCCCCGCGCGCGTCCACGTACAGCAGGTGCGTGCGGGAACACAGCTCCTCCAGCTGCACCACACGTCACACCATATCACGCCCCAGCACGCCCCACCACGCCCGCACCGGGGCGAACAGATCTCTCACAAGCTAAAATTCTACGTCATCGTTCGATCGTTATCGATCAGTCCCGCGTCGACGTCGTCGGTGTTCCGCGAGGGAGGAACGTATACTCACGTCGACGTCGGGCGGTTGCCTCTCCCGAAGCCAGGCGAGTGCGGCTTCGGCGACGGCGACGGGCGCCTCCTCGCCGTCCTCCGCGCTGCTCTCCCGCAGCATCTCGATGTTGATCACGGGCAGCCCTCCCATCGCGCCGCTGCTGCATATCTCCTCGAACTGATGCACCGGAAAACCGAGCAGACCGTTTTAGAGCACGCATCCGACGGATATATTCCACCGATTCTCCGGTCGCCACTCACGTTGCTAGCGATGTACTCGTCCAGCCGCTTGAGGTGGTCGGGCGGCAGGTCGGGCAGCGCGCGCAGCTGCAGGCAGTCGTGCGGCGCGGCAGTGCGCATGAGCGCGGCGGCCAGATGCGCGCGCACGGGCTCGATGCGCAGTCGCCAGGCGGCGCGGTACAGCCGCCGCGCGCCCGCCGCGTCCCGCACGCGCAGCCGCCCCGTGTACGCGTACTCCACCAGCGCGCGCAGCGCCTCCGCCTCCACGTGCTCCACGCGGTGCGCCGTCGCCGGCGTCTGCGCACACGCGCCCGCGCGGGCCCCGCTTACGTTTCGTCTTTCAATGTCGGAGGATATTGTAGGTATCCGCCCTCACCTGGAGCGCCTCCAGCAGATACGGGGAGGCGGCCGCGAGGACGGCCCGGTGGGCGGCCACTTCGGCCCCGTCCGCCACTAGCAGGACGTCGAAGTGTTGCCTGGACTTGCGCAGCGCGTTGAGGGCGGCCAGCACGCGCGCCGGCGCCCCCTCGTCCCACAGCGACAGCTCGTCCGCCCCCCCGCTGCCGTCCCCCTCCCCGCCCGATCCCTCCTCCGAACCCGACGCGCTCGCCGGACGTGACCTCTCGCCGCCGTCTGAGTTTACACAGAATCGGTCCTACATCACCAGTGATGAGATACACTTTTCACTAGCAGTAACGCAGTAATATTTCTACACCGTGCTACGTGTCGGGCCTGTTTCCATATGATGCATGTTAATAATAATTCACCTACACTCGTAGCATGAGAAACTTGAGTACGTTTTATCAGTTATCTACACTCAGATGTCATTTTTCTCAGGTTTTCATGTTTGTAATGCTATGGGTGCTTAGTTACCCTCGCCTTTGACGATCACATAGCACATAGAACACTGTGCATACCACCTGAGCATGGCTAGTCATTTAATTTAATGGTCTAATTTTCTAGCTGAATCAATTATGACATTTGGACCTTTCAATGAGACAGCTGATTTAAAGGAAGCCAAAATGTTCATTAAGCTTTGTTATCTGTTAAAATAAAAACCTCTTTTTTAAACTATCACGTGACCAACAGGAGCAAAATATTTTTTTTGTTGTTATTAACTATACAATAGCACCAAACTTTGAAATTGTAATAAAAATACTAAAACAATAGCAGTCATACACTACTTATTTTTATTTTCGATAAATTATGGCCATCTGAATCACAGTATATCCTGTCTTCGTATACTTATATTAGTATTGAGAATTTATTATAACAGTTTAAGATTAACGCATTTGCATTTGGTGTTTACGTTAACATCCTGTATTGGATCATATGGACCATTAATACCCAGCCACGAATATGCAGTTTGTTATTATCTTTTTGGTCAGTTCTGTATCTATGAGGAATTACAGATCTTAACAATGAGTTTTTAATTTTTATTTAAAATCACCTACTATACTACTTATTTTGTTTTACTTTTAATGCTATGAATAAAATTCACAATGAATTGACAGTTAATCAGTCTAATTGTAAAATTATGCGATCGATTACTTGGCTGATCGAATATCAGTCTGTCAATTGAATGGTGACATTTAATGAAAAGGACTAGCTGCCCATTTATTCAGCTGATTAGACCACTTGGCTGTGACATATATATTAAGTTTTATGAATTTAATTTAATAAAAAGTTCTTTTAAAACTATAACTCAAAATCTTGTACTGAGAAAAATCTATAATCAAATCACCAGTGTCTACTTCTATCTCAGATTTATTTCATACAGGAGTCAAATTGAATAATGCCTTATTAGGCTATGTAGTCACTACTACATTTAAATATTTTAATAATACAATATGGTAATTTTAAAATACAATAAGTATCACCAATCAAAATGAATGGAACACCTTCAAATACAAGCTTTCTTCTCTTATGTTTACATAGAAGAGAATTGCAGTTCTTAATCTTTGTCATTAGGGGTCAGTTCCCATCTTGCCATTGCAGATCTTTCCCAGGTACAGAAAGGTGATACACAATTCATGACACAATTCATGTGAAACTTATGCTGTATTCCACCCCTTTGGATGGAAAATTATTATTTAATTTTATACAATTAAGTAATAATAATAAAATAATAATACTAAGTAATAATTTTGCATTAATAAAAATCATATTTAAAAAACAGATAACCACAAAGGGATTAGTACATGATGACTTGATTTGTAAAAACAAAACTTGACACTTTTTATTGATAATTAGAATATAATGATTAGGTTTAAATTAATCCTTATATATCCCACAGAAACAACATTATCTGCTGTATTAACAGTATAGACAGATAACAAAATATCTTATTGATAACTGGGTATACACTGGACCTTGACACAGTCATTTAGTGCACAGAAAGACCCAGAACCAACAGAAATAATATGATATAACAACTGAACAATCCACAACATCCATGTTAGGCAGTTAAAAATTAATATAGTCCCATAATTGCTCAATTGACTATGTTTAATTGTCATTGATTATTGAAGATTTTTTCAATGTTATTAAAGCTAGAAGAGAAGTAGTGTTTAAAATTCTGCTGTAGTTAATGTAAACCTTAGTCAATAATTAGTTAATTTCCTTCTTTAAACTTGGCTAGGCTAGGCTTATCCAACTAATTATTTGTATTGAGGAAAACAGTTGACATTGATCTGTCTATTGCTAATGACATGTAACAATGAAGTACCTATTTAACACTTACCAACGCCGTTCCTAAGTTCGTCCCGTGGTCTCATGGTCGTCTTCAGGGCTCCAACGGACCTGCGCATAGAAACACAGCGTCAGCAAGGACACTCGAGTCACTATACAGCCTGCCCTGAAGCCCGTCGCCCTAATGCCAAATAACAGCAAGGAGCACGTGGTCATGGAGCACCGGCTCATAAGCGACTCAGCGAAGCCGCGACGTCGCGACGCAATTGTCGTCACATGGCGCGCGTAAACAAACCCACCTGATGCGCTGTTGCTAGATCGCGTTCGGTCTGCACTGCGACAATCCACTCGCACTCACCACACGTACCTCGCATTAATTAGATTAAGCGCATTACTGTGACGCGACACAATAAAATAAAACAAATATAAAACGAAAACTCAGCAACGCGAAAGTTGTTTTGATCGAACGAAACAAGATTAGGTAGTGATGCCACGACATATCGGAAATTCGGAGTGCCAATACATATCGATACGTCACCGCTCAAAAATATCGTCATATCGGTCATAAACAGTCAAATCGATATCAAAAATATCAACAAATCGAATGAAATCCATTATAACAGCCAACCGCATCTTGTGTCACATGTGTGACATTATTTTTTTAACCCTGATTTTTTTGCCTTTAAGCTTTTAATAGTTTTTTAGAGTTCATACCCATAGTGTAAAACGGGAATAATATTAAGACATCGCTGTCTGTCTGGTATCTCTTGAACCGTGAAAGTTGAACAGTTGAGATTTTAAAGATGATGTATTTTTGTTGCTGTTTCAACAAAATTAATAAAAATAAATAATTTAAAGAAAATCAAAAATCCCTACTGCGTAAAACCGAATTTAAATAAATACATGAAAAAAATTAACTTCAATAAAAACTAAATAGAAACAAACAAGCCCAGTAGTTTAGAATTCTATTAAGTAATACTAAATAACTACACAATTAAAATAGTTCTATAATCGATACACTCATAAAACAAATCATAAATTGCCCCTTGCCCCCTGAGCCCCTTGGGTAGATTTGATTACTAAAATTTGAATGCCTTTAGCAAAAAAGTTTGTTTTAGCAAAAATATGGGGCCCCAGTAAGTAGCTGCTTTGATAATTAGGTCGCTGGAAGCTTTCATCAACAAACACTTGTCGCGAATTTAGCTAGGTTTTATGAAACGGATTATTATTAAATTTTATAATATGCCACCTGTGCGAGCGGCGATCGGAAAACTTCTCTCTATGGTATATAGGTGGCAGCACTTACAACGTAAAGACATACGTTTCGTTCTGCGTGGTGGTGCGTTTTGTTTAGGGCTTGTGAGCCTAAGCATTGCATTATAGAAACAAAATGACAATAAATTAAGACGAATGCTTTGTGCTAATTTGCAATATTACAGCTAATGAATAATACGGAACAGAAGGGAAACGGCCCGGTAAGGAAGAAAAGAAAGACAGGATAGATTATAAAAGATACACTATATATAAAATAGATATGAATTATAAAGAGCATATATAAAATAAACATAATAGAATAACTAGAGTGGTATAGCTAAATTTATTTGATTAGCAAGTAATGTGCGACTAATCGGTACCGTAGTCTATCTTGCACAAAATTAGTTCAAGCATAGCCTTGGCACGGGTGCACTTGGAGTCAAAAGGTGAGTGCTTGTTGTCGAGTTTGGTCTTCGACTTTAACGTTTTGTTATAGTTGCAAATGGGTTTCTCCTTGCACAGTCCCTGGGTGTGCCTGAATTGAGCACACTTTCAGCAGTGCTTAAATGGCGAGAACTCCTCAAAGTGGACCTGTTGGAAGCCCACTTTGAGTCTGGGAGTCGTCATCCAGGCTAGTTTGGGCCAAGTGGTAGGCGAAACAGTGACCATGGCATTGTAAAGATTCTGATTGCGGTTCTGAGCAATGAACCGCAACTACAGGTCGTCATTGGTGAGGTTAAGTTGCGTGTTTCGTCTGACCAGTTCGGACGTCAACTGATCATGAGGTGTATCCTTGTGAATGCCCTTGAGGATTATCCTAGGTAGGATTCTCCTCTCGGGCACGGTGGTGAAAGTACTAGTAGCCGCAGCACGCAGATGGTCAGCGGCCTTGTCCTTATCTTGTTGTGTCTCAAATTGATGACGAATCTTCCCTTTAGATATGTGTCTGATATTAACAGGAGGGTTTAACCCCTCCTTCTCGAGAAAGATTTTCTTGAGTTGGGACACATTGGTGTCCCTGTGAGAGTCGGCCGACACTGGTGTTAAAATCAGTACCGGTTGTGGGCCTATGAAGGACCTCGGGCTGGTGGTGTTAAGTGTGGAGGCCGCTCGTCCAGCAGGTACTAGCGGCGCGTTGGGCAAGTTGTTGCGGTTAGCGGCCACAGACCGAGCGTATGTGGGAATTGGCCGTTGTTGTTGGTCGGTGGTGGCGGGTTTATTAAATTGTTTAATGGACTTATTCAAGTCCGCGAGATCCTTTTTTTTTTTATCTTTTGTAGATCATCTTCGATCTGAGCCAGGTTCGGCAACTGTACGGCAGCGGGAGCAGAACCCCTTGATAGTGGTACCGAAATAGTTTGGTGAGTTCTTGAAAGTGTGAGTGGGAGCAAACGAGAGCACGCCTTCGCTGGTCCGTCGTTACGCTCTTGGTTTTGGATTTGTTGAAATCGATATACCCCTGGATGTCCTCGACTTCGGCGAGTACGGTCTCCAGGAGCTCTGAAGTACTGAAGTCCATAGGAACGACTTCACCTCGTTCCTCTTCAGAAAAGTTTGGAAAGGCAGGCGGGGCGGGTTCGTCAAATAATTTAAGGGTGCGTTGTTTATAAAACGAGCTTGTAGAGCTAGTTGAACCCGTTGACAGGTCCAAGCGTGATGGTCTTGCTGGAGCTGTAGGTGTCTGAGCGTCAGTAGAACCTGAGGCCCTTGCGACCGGCGTTGAATCGTACACGGCTGCTGAATTGGATAAGATAAGATAAGATAAGATAAGATCTTTATTTGCTAGAATACACTTAAAAGGTCACAAAAATAAATAAAGAGATCCAGTATTCTACCTGAGAATAGGCGTGCAAATATTCTAATCATGCAATTTTCTTAAAAGCCAAAAATTCCTTCACACTATAGAAGCTGTGTTCCATAAGCCACTTTGTCAATTTTGATTTAAATTCATTAATATTCAAAAATTTCATGTCATTTGGTAAACTATTGTATATAATTATACACATGTTGTATACATTATTTTTATAAATGTCCTTATGACAAGGAGGGTGGTACAATAAATTTATATATTTTTGTCTAGTTTACCGGGGCATAACTTCAACGCGTTTAGTCCAATATTTGGAGTTGGAGTGAACAAATAAACATACATCTTTTATATACATACAGGGTAGAGGCAAAACATTAAGCTTCTTAAAAAGTGGTTTACAGCTATCATCAAACCAAGCATTGCAAATGACACGAATACACTTCTTTTGAACTCTAAAAACTCTGTCAAGATCAACAGAAGCTCCCCACAATAACAAACCATAGCTCAAAACAGACGACACATATCCATGGTATGCCATTAAAGCAGCTTCAACAGATACTGTTTGTTTCAGTTTTTTTATTGCAAATATAAAACGGTTTAGTTTTCCACATATATGGTCAATATGTTGCTTCCAATTTAAATGTTTATCAATTAACAATCCAAGAAAACGTACTGAGTCTACTTCGTCAATTTCAATATTTTTGTAATTAATTTTTACAGGTATAGGACTTGTGTTATATGATCTGAACTGGATTAATTGGGTTTTATTAATATTTAATTTTAAATTATTTGCATCTAACCATTTAGTGACATCTGATAATGCTGAGGTTATTTGACGTTGAAAAGAGTTGATATTGTTATTGTCACATTTAATGATTATCATTGTATCATCTGCAAACATTATGCACTTGTTACTTGTGCTATGTGGCAAATCATTTATGTACACCAGAAACAGCAGTGGTCCAAGAATACTTCCTTGAGGAACGCCGGCATTTTTAATTTTAAGATCAGATCTATATGTTTGTTTTATATTAACTTTATATTTTTGTACAATTTTGCTTACCTCAGTAGTTTGTAACCTGTTTTTTAAAAAACTTTCTATCCATTCAAGAGCATTGCCTCTGATACCACAATTGCTTAGTTTGTGTAGACGTTTAGAGTGGCAAATGAAATCAAACGCTTTACTCATATCTAGGCATAATGACATAACAGGAGTTTTTTTATTAAGGCTTTCAGTAATGTAGCCTATAAACTCAAAACAAGCTTGAGAAGTTGAGTGACCCTTACGAAATCCATATTGATCTGGATGAAAGTAATTGTGTTTGTCTAGGAAATCTATCAATCTGGAATGCATGGCCTTTTCGAAGATTTTGGATAATATTGGCACTAAGGTAATAGGTCTGTAGTTATTTGGATCCATCCTATTGCCTTTCTTATGTAATGGTTTTACAATAGAGATTTTTAGCTGCTCTGGAAACTTACCCTCGGCAAATGATAGATTTATAAGGTGAGTAATCGGATGGCATATAAAAAAGGCACACAATTTAAGAATGTATGTAGTCATATTGTCGTAACCACTGGCTCTGCTATTATTTAAAGATAAAATAATTTTATAAGTTTCATTTATATCTATAGGATTCAGAAATATTGTAGAAGGATTAGTATCATGAATAATTGATTGAAATGTCATGTGATGCTTCGTAGAGTCATTTTTGTTCGTCAAGTTTGTAAAAAAATTATTAAAAATATTGCTAATGTCAAAAGGATTATTGTATATTTGATTATCATAAGAAATTGAATTAATGTCATATTCATGTATATTATTCGAAGTCATCGATGATATTGTATTCCAGGTGGCTTTACATTTGTTTTTATTATTTCGTATGTATTTTTAATCATTATATACGTCCCGCCCTGCTTTTTTTTACGAGAAAAATTAGCTACCATTTTATAATTACTCAGCTTAATGTTTTCCTCCGATCCTTGACCAATAAAGGTCTCACTAAGGCATATTATATCTACCTCCTTGCCATTTTCCCTGAATTCATTAATTGTAATGTCCATCAAATCAGCTTTATTACAAAGACCTCCTATATTTTGGTTAAATATAATTAAATCGTCACAATCTTTATATACCACTTTTTTAGAGCACCGAGATACCTTATTTAAGGAAGCACAGGTCTTATTAACATCGAAAAAACTTTGCAGATTCACAAGAAGTATGACAGTGAACATGGTTTGAATAAACTATATTATTTATATATTCTAACTGATAACGAATAGAGTCTATTGCAATATTTATCTTAAAACATAAAAAATTTAGCGAGAGTAACTTATCGCTTTCGTCTATTAATTTACAGTTTTTATAACATGCAGCTAACATTTTAAAATCGTTATTTATTACATTTTTATCTAAATATTTACTATTCCGTACTATGAATTTTTAGTTCAATTAATTT